ATCTGCCTCCACAACTGCAAAAACCATTACATTGACCAGAAGAGCTATGCACTTTATTTTCCTTTTATTAAATCTTAAACAGATGTGATAAAACCATGCAGCTCTATCGAACTCCTTTCATACTATGCCAATCTGTTCACAACATAACTTTAAACATAAGGGTGACATACCTGTATTATTGAAAGTCCTAGTGCAACCCTATTTTGAGAAGAATACAATCTTCCCCTGGCCCCATCAGATTACCTCATCATCTAATACTATATCCTAATATGTTCCTTTCTGTTATCTTTTTCAGCACTTTCAAGTCTCACTCAGACACAGCAGTCGTCCAAAATTTACCTGAACTCTACAAATCTACAGATTCAACTCCACTCTGGCATAATTTGAGCAAACACAATGGAAAATAAAAACTTACATGACTACATATGTTTTGACACCCAATCTCAAGTCACTTATGTAATTTATTTGTGAACTGAGTCTCTAAAAAAAAAAAAATTCTGCAGTAGAGGCCTACTGCCCTCAGAAAGGATAATGCATTGTTTTTTCTTGTTTCTAATTAGTAATTTAAGCATATGTTCAGCATTTAACTCTAAATGTTTGCCTTTTCCCTAAGCTCTAAGACAGCTGTCCAAGATGTGAATGCCAGAAAACATTTAAATATCAACATCTGTTGAATTATGTTAATTTAGTGTAATATAATTGGGCATGAGTTGGAATTGATCAAAAGTATATGAATTACACAAAGGCAAATCCAAACCAATATCTTGGTGTACAAACAAGTCACCAAGGAACACTGAGGGAATAAAACCAAAAAATCCACTTCTGTTAAAAATGAAACAGCTAAAACTTAGTTTTTTTCAACAAATGCCATGATTTCACATTTTCAAGACAGGACATGAGTATTTATAATCATTCAGAATATAAATTTAATATTCATTGATAATATTTCTATATATTTTGACAGCAAGTTCCATTATTGTTTTGTGTCAAGCAACACCTGATAAAAACAATGCTCATATTTGTGTAATGGTGAAACATAGTTAGAAAATAGGCTGCAGTAATAGAATGCCATCCTGTTACAGGACAATATTGTTTCACAAATTCTAAAGCAAATATTCTTTGGTTTCTTCTTCATCTTGCGACAACATTGTTGGTATCCAAGAGATATGGGCCCCGATCCAGCTATGAAGTGATTTGGAAAATATCATTATGACTTGAGCAGTAACCATGGGCTTAAACAGATACTTCAACAGAAGGACTCGACAGCTTACTCAGTGACACTATTTCTTCCAGATATTTCTGGATACATATTTGTTTACTAAGTATGATAGTCACTAAATAAACTTAGTGCAGGACAAATGTATTTTGTTGAAAAGACTTTAAAAAACACATCTTAAAGTTCTGGATTACACTTATACAGAGTTAGGTTGAATTATTGCAAACATTAGCATCACATTCAAAATCCTTTGCTTTTAAAACAGGTATAGAAGAAGAAGCAACACTAAAAATCCAAATATCTAATATAGTAGCTCAAAAATGGAAGGAGGAAAATGTCCTATCAGGTTGGAAGCACTCAACACTCTGCCTGTATGCCAATTTCTTTCTTTACCTCTGTGCTGGGAAGGTGAGCAAGCATGGCTAACCGGAAGGAATTTAGTTCAGTATGAGACCAATAATTCAATTAATGTAGGTAAAGAGCCAGCACAATGTAACGATTTTTAACCAGTCATTCAGACCTAGACCTGGACCAGTGATCCAGAAGCTTTTTGTCATATTACATCCATCGTGGTCAGTCCTTAACCTACTGTCTTCCAATCGGTTCCAAGAAAGTAAGTGCTCTGTAGCTGGACCCCAACATCATTCTCCTCCGTAGTCCCTTTCACTTCCCTATTTTTAATACTATGCTTGAGAAACAACTCTTCAAACAGTCTTATTGTCTGACCAAGATAGTACAGTTATAATCCAGTCAATCAGATAAACAAAGATATAATTGTATACAAGTTGGGATGGGGGGGGGTAAGTCATTAAAGCTGAGACTGAACATTAAGCAAATTATGCTTCTGAACACTCCGCACCTATTCCTCTCAGTAACTGTCATGCAACTCCATTGAGTACAAGGGGTCTGTGTGTGTAGGAGTGAATGCAAAATTTGACTTTCTAATAACAAAGGAGAGCAGGTAAGAGAAAGTTAAAGAAACATTGACTTTTTTTTTTTTGGTCCTTTTTAGTTTCAAAATTCTTTCATAGCAAAAACTTCACTTATGTCCTTCTGCTCTGTATTATTGACTAGCAATATCAAGACTTCTAAAAATATGTATATGAAGTAACAGAAGAATGGCAAAACTAATTGCAAAATCCAAAAATCATCAGGCTGAACAGTGTCTTTGCTTCCTTTTGGCTAGGACAGTTACTGAGTGTTAGTTTCCAGCTAGGCTGAAATTTAGTTACAATAAATGATCACAATTTAAAAATATCAACAAAGAAAATAAACATGAAAATTTTATGTAATTTGAAACGAACTACTGAAATTTTCTTCTAAACTCTTTTTCTCCTTACACAAACCCCACAGTGTGAATAGAAGTCAGTGTGTCTATGCCTCAGAATTTTAGTGAATGTGCACCACTGGATGCTGCTTTACGTATATGCGATTCAGGGATCCCTTCAAGATTAGTAGGAACTGGATGTAAAAATTGCACAAACAGTTTAATTTACAGTAAGAACAGCGAGAGGCAAACCAACCCTTCCTTCATGCATGGCTATTCATCCTTATGTTTGTGGTTTCATGTGCCTGTGTGGTGAACCAAATAGAGTAGATCCAAATTTCTCGTGGCAGGGGAGATGCTGGGACAATTAAGTGGTGGAAAAACAGACTGCAGAATAACCTCTTTTGATTGCAATGCTGCTTAACAATAGTTAAACAGTTTGTGGAACTACAGTGCAAGCTACTGTGCATGGCTCCTGCTCAGACCTTAAACAGCAGGAAGGGTCTTCACACCTCTGAAGCCCAAATTAACTTTATCTTTATGCCATTAGCATTTTAACAGGTAAGATGAAACAAGCAAAGCTTGAGCTCTGGAGCACGAGCTCGAGCAGAAGAAGAGAGAGAGTGTCTAATGCAGTTGAGTGTGAGAAACAAGCATACCATGTGCTAAAATTCGGGTACTGGAAAGTGAGAAATTTGTTATCAATTCATTCAGGGGAAAATTCAATCCAGATGGTACATCAGGAGGATCAGAAGTACACGATTTCTAGAGGCTATCTGATTTTTTGTTATAGATATTTTTTAAAGTCAGGCCTTACTGACTTCCTGTTAGTTAACATACTCATGTGTACCTGGAATTCAATTTTAAATGTCAAATTTTCAGTATAATTTAGCACCTTATTTCTGTACAATATTATAAAGTAGATTAGATTTTATTGCAATAACAACGAAATTTGTCTTGTGGTTTTGTACTTAATTAGTTTTGCATTAAAGATGCAATGAAACTGCTCAGATCACACGGAATGATGTATTTTCAAAACAGAGCACTGTCTCTTCAAAATTTCTGCTACTTCTGCAAATGTTCTCATTATGGAAGTTGAGTTAAAATATGATACTTTTAAGACACTTAGTGACTAATGTTCATTTAGTCAATGGATACTTTAAATCTATCCATGAAGCAGTACCGAGGCTTGAAGATTTCCATAAAATTAAAGCATCACACACTGGCTACATTTTGAAATAACAATCAAACTGTCATCGCCCCGTCCGCCTCTCCCAAATAAAAATCTTTTTGGGACTTGAAAAATAAGGCCATAGTATAGAAAACTCAATCAGGAATTGCTCTCTTCCAAAATGGCACCATCTTTTATTCCTCCTGGAGAAGAAAAATACCAAACTGATGGAATAATGTTGTCCCCGAGGGTGACAGCAAGGGAGGAAAGCAATGTGTCCTCAAACATTCACATAATTTAATCTGGAACTGCAAATATTATTAAGCACCAATCATAACAGTACAGTTACTGCTTCATGGCACTCCGAAGAGGAGATAAAACTGCTTAGTTGTTAATTTCTAATGATGTAAACACATTTGGATTTTAATGTTATATCTGAATCTCCTGCATTATTAGCTCTGGGGTTACAAGATATTAACTTACTACCTTTAATAATTTTACACTTGAATTAAAAGGTGTGTTTAAACATTACTTTCTTTTAAAGTATTTTTGTTGAGAATATGTGTTCATGCAATCTCAGAAGTGAATCACCTAGTAAGATAGCTATGCATTCCTTAGCTTTACTGCAGTGTAAGTATGTGCATGTTTTCACGTATAATTTTCAAAAACTGGATGAATTTACCTCCTCTGGTATTGTAATTTCATTCCACAAAAGCCACATTAAACAATTACAGTTCTTGTAATTAACCAGTAGTCTAATGTACAGTTTTCTTATCCCAATCCATTAACAGCTGCTCAAAAAATGTAGTAATTAATGGTTTCATTTATTTTTGGCAAACCTGCAACTCGACAAATAGTTTTGTATCTGCTGCAAATTAGGACTCTTTCCCAAACGACAGATGACACGGTGGGAAAGAGGGAGCAGACAGAATCCTTGCACATCTTTGTCTCTTTAGAAGATCAAATAAAGAGCAGCTGTAATACTATTTGTCACATCTGTGTAAAAAAGTACCATGATCCATATCATCAGATGAAAATGAACAAATGCTGTACAAATGTACAAATAGGGGTTTCCCTTGTATTTCTAACCAAAGCAATAATACACTTTTGAAAAGCTCTCATCAGGTTTGGTGTCATTTTTCTCTTAGGAGCTTTCTTTAAATACTGATTCATAGAGAATACTGTTAGCTACAAAAAGTGAAAATACTTGAGAGTAATCCTCTTATACCGACACAAGGCACATATTTGAACTGGATTGAGAACAACTAGAGAAAGGAGGGAAAGAGAGAGTTGCAGAAAGCATGGGGAAGTTACGACTAATGTTCTGGGTTTTTATTGACATTTACCACCATTTAGTAGCATCTGACATACTTCCTTTACATAACTCTTCTTGTACTACTTCCAGAGTCTGCTTTCCTGAATGTCTCCTCCACATGTGTAAAGACCCGTATTTGAATCTGTGCTGTTCACCACGGCCGGACAAGACTTCAAAGACTTCTTGCCAGCTCAAAATAGAGCAGCAACAGGTGATCACTGGATGACTGGCACACAGTCCTCCTGTCATGTTATAGTAATGGACGAGTCGGTGGCTCCTGCTGATTTTTAAAGAAATATCAAGGTACTACCTCCACCTCAAGGTATGGTCTACTTTGCAGCCGCAAGAAGTGGCTAGTTAGTTGATAATAAGCTGCTGCTACATTGACTGTTAACACAGGATCTGTTAGCTAGCTGAATCCTAACTTGTCTCATTCTGCTCCACCATAAAATCCCTTTTATGAGTATGACTTAGCCTTCTTTCAAGCCAGGACTGAACTGCATAAGAATTACAAATAGCTTTTTTTTCTTTTAAATGTCTCTGGGGGAGCATTTGAGTGTGAAAAGCCAACAGAGAATTATCAAGATACGACCAAAACAAAATTGGTAAGCGGTGAAAATTTGGGGACTATTCTCTTTTCAGTTTCTCAATTCTTGCATGTGTCATAAATTCTACTTATAGTACAGTAAGAAAAAATAAATATGTAGATAAAATAATTAATGATACCTAGTGGAAGGTATCCCTGCCCATGGCAGGGGGGTTAGAACTAGGTGATCTTTAAGGGCAACTTCCAACCCAACCCATGCTATGATTCTATGATTAACAAGAACACACTGTAAAAGAAATATGACACAAGACCATTATGTATAGTAAAGGAAATAATTAAACAAGTTTATCTTATTCAGTAGTCTGCTGTTTTCCCAATCTGCAATTCTGTTGCTTCTAGATTACAGCACAAATTAACTGGTTATGGCATCGACTGTATGACCAAAGGCAAAATATTAAGTTGCTTAAGTATTCTGGTTATTTTTTTCAAATGAGGATGAAAGTACTTCCTAATTTCATAAGGGTATTGTGAGGATAAATACATTAAATATTAAGAGACAGGCAGACATTGTATGATGGAGGTCCCCCATATATTTAACAATATAATCACACGTTCAAAATCATGTTCCAGCAGCTCAGCAAAATACCGTTCAACACTGTCTCCATTGCTGACCAAAGGAATCTCTTAGCCCTGGGGAATCATCTTTAGGTAGAACTTGTTTTTGTAAATTTTTACAAAGGTGACTTAAGAAAATGCGTTTTACCTCACGACAGGAGCAGGCAAACAATGAGCGCATGATCAGCTATGGCAGTTCAGCTGCCAAGCAGCAACTTGTTAACTCACCATAACTCAATCATGTTCAATTGTTTGCCCACAGCCTCAGGCTACAGACAGACATTTGGTCTGCTAACAACTGTGCCAGATGAAGACATTACTATCCCAAGCTATTTGTTATCACACATCTGCTGGAGATTATCATCTCCACAACTCTGCCGGAGGAAGAAATCATGTGAGCACCTCCTAATATGGTTTGTTACAAAACCAGCCAATTTAATTTAAATAGGTGAGTTGAGCTAACCAGGCTAGTTTTGTCCAAAGCATATTAAAAAATGCAGACAAAAAGACTTCTTTACTGGTAAAAGAGTAGAGGATGAAAACAAGCAGCTGGAAGAATTAACACCTTTAAGCAGTATAGCTGGATTGGGGAGGGGACTATTCCTGTCCTAATGCAGAGAGATAATGTAAACAGAGAACTTTTTCAAGGCTATACAGGAGGAAACAAATGTAGCTTCTAAACCAGTATTATTTAGTACTGTTCATATAATTTAAATAATTAATGGGAAAACTACATATTTGTAGATTAAAGCTTATCTGTAAAGGTAGCATAAATATATATATATATATTTAAATGTGTCAAATACAGAAGGTCATGTGTTGAACTGTATCAGCATAATATAATCTATCCAGGTTCTAAGTTTTGTGGTGCACGACTGTGCCCCCTCCTTAACATTTGGTTCTTCAATAGCCATATCAACAGCTCTCAACAAACTAATTATCTTGCCACTAGTAAAAGTTCCTGTCAGTTTGTATAGGATTGGCTCATTATTATTAATTTTGACAAAACAAACCTAATACAAGCAACCCAGTACAGTAAAACCCACCCAGAAAGTATCAGTATTATTCCACCATGAAAAGACAGCTGCAGACCAGTGCCGTGCTTAGAGCTCCACACCTTTCTGGTGTATTTACAGAGTAAATTATTCCACAAGTGACTGATCTAATGTAATACGGGTATTTACATATTGTCTACATGCTGAGACAAGAACTGTGTTCAGTCATCCAAAAGGGGTAAGGAAAGTCAAGGCAAGCATAGAAAAATGTGTGTGTATACACATATCTTGCATACATATGAAAAACAGAAGAAAGGTCTTCCAAAACAGCAAACAAAGATAGTCCCACAACAACAAACACAGTTGTGTGAAAACTATACAAAGAAAGACCCAGAGAAATTCTGTCTTGCAATAAAAGCAGATTAAACTGTATTCTGGATAAGTACAACATTTTCATAGAATGTCCAATACTTACCCACTGCTGCTGTTCTATCACCACATATCGCAACAAACAGTAGGACAATATAAGGTCACAGCCATTACTTTTTGTATGCCTCTTTTTAAAGGGGTTACCCATCTGAATTATCTTGATGTGTCAAACTGCAATAGTTTAACATATGCAAGAACTAATTTAGAGTAAATTTGAGAACGCTGCAGACTTTCAGGTGTGAGTAAACACTTGCATTCAACAGAAGATTTAACTGCATATGCACTTAGTACACTGAAATAATGAAAGATTTACTATAATGTTACTTAATTTGGTAACTTAATCTTGTGACATTTGATTGGTATCACTGTAGTTTAGTGGTTTTTAAAGTATTTGGGCACATGCAAAAATCTAAATGACAGATTTTCATTTTAAGATTTCATACACAGTAATGAAGATGCATATTTGCAGCTAAGGTGATGTTCACCATTTTACTAACTGTGAACAATATTTGCTACTAAAACTGTAATTTCTATAGGCACCTTGTTAAGCAGAAACATTCTCCTTCTCTGTATTGTCTGGTGAAACTAAGATTAACCCTTTCGGTAGAATTGATAATTTAAAATTAAGTCATAACAAAATCAGCCTTCAGTATTAACCACAGATAAATCTGACATATGTCAATACGCACTATGAATTTAATTTGTAAGGAACAGAATACCAGAGAATTTTCTTGAATCAAACGAGGATAGGTACTATGAACATATGAGGAGATGAACTATGTAATTGTCATGTATTGTTCCTATATATCTGAATTTCAATCTCTATTTTGGTTGTTACAGCTTTTGATAAAAAGCAAAATTTTAGGTTATAGAACACTTAAACTATAGGAAGAAAGTAGTCACCAGACATGCTATTGGCCTGAGAGAAAAAACATTTGCACATAGTGCAAATTAAATTCTTATTTTCAGCAGGTAAACTGTAGCAAGAATGCTAAAATATGTTCAATATGCGTCTTGTAAATAAGATGTATATGACTTGATATTCTAGGACAGCAGATGGCCTGTTAAAACTATCATTTTCATAGAAGTTTGAGAATTACTCTTCAAGTCACTTTAAAGAACTAACAGTAAAGTTTCTGTGGTAGGCAGAGAAAACAGTGGTTTTATGAAAAAGCACAAATAACTATTTTGAAATAACCTGACTCCATCTGGAGGAAAAAGCCTCTGAAAACAGAGATGATGGTACCAGGAGATGTTAGCAAGTGCCCTTGCTGTTTTTAAGGGTATTACAGTATGATAATGTACTGTGGATTTATGTACGTCATAATAATGGTTTATGTTAAGTTTTACTTTAATTTTACCGATATTTTACAGAACATGTCAGTCTTCAGGCTTGGATTTGCCACCTATTGCTTCTATGCAACCCTGCCAGATGTTTATTGGGATAACAGTCTACTAATGTACTGCTGACCAGACCTGAAGAGAGGTTGAAGATCACTTCAGGTGTTGAATGTCATTTTAAAAATCTCTATTCTAACCACTTCTGTAGGTAGCAATCACTTCACAAGAGTTTCACTGGTCAGAATAACAAACACATAAATTATGATTCTGAACTCCTCAGACACCATTTTACATTGCTACAGCATAAAAAAGATCCTAAAATGACTTGAAACATAATCTGTTTCTTACTGCTCACTTTATATCCACTTTATACTCCCAATTTCATGTAAGCAGCCTGATAGCAAGAGAGCATTTATGGTGATAATTCATATCTAAAGTGAACTAATTCTAAAATTCTGAGCAAAAAAAAAGATTTAACAAGTGCGCTTCCCAGAAAACGTATGCAGAAGTTTTCTATTTTTTTTTGCTTAACATAAAAGGTTTAATAGACAAAGATAACCACAATTTCTGAAGATGAATGACCAACACTTGCATAACAAATGTTTTAGAGCATGTAACGACAACTTGTATACAGTGAAATAGATTCATATTTAATATGCATATTTTTGAAAGAAATATTGGTGTCCCCTTCCAGGTATTCATCAAAGCAAGTATTTAACAATATTAAAAACTTATTTCAGGATGACCACATATACGCTAAAACACAAGTGACTCACTCAAAACCATAGTATTACATAATGATATAAATCTATTATAACTTTTTGAATAAAGTAATTTGATAGCACATTGTCATCTTTACAGAACTACATAAAAATTGTTTAAGGTGTTGTGCATAGCAAGGGAAACATTTCTGTAGTTTCTTGTTTTAAAAAATACTAGAATTAAAAGAATTATTTGGCAGAATAGATCCAGCAGGTAACATGTACATAAAAAACCCTCTAGGAACAGACTCCTAGACCAGTGCCTACCAGTTCAGTGTTGAATTTTTTGTCTTTTGAGGGAGAGGAAAGAAGCTGGAGGATAGAACTAGATTTGGTATTAGTAAGTCTTCACAATAAAATTTTTATTGTCAAAACATGATATAAATACAATTTAAGTGTTACAGTATTTGAGTTATCCTCTTGATTTCAAAAGCATGTATGCATAATGGTAATTTTATACATTTTCAGCACTTAACTTACATGCCAGAAGCACAAACCTTAGTTTGGCATCCATTTCATTCTGATGTTTACTAGAGAGATTAAGTTTGGTAAGTGTAGTTGGTTATAGTCAAGAATAAAGTCTAATATCCACATTTTAGGCAAAGATTATGCCATACAAAAGAAATTCTTCAAAGTAAATCACAAAGAACCAGAAGACCTCTGAAAATACCCCAAAAGAATGGTGTGATTACTTATATAAAAATTGGAGAGTTAGGAAATCAACAAATTCATAAACAGTATTAATGACAGCTGCAGCATTAACTTACCTGCTAGCTGTTTTTACAGAGCTGTTCTTCTTGTGTCCTCTCTCCGATCGGTTGTCTCGCAAGAGTTGAAGCTATTAAAAAAAGTGTTCAGAACAGTCTCACAAGCAATACCTTTATATGCTTTTTAGAAATGTTATCATGACAATGCCATTCTTTCCTGTCTTGAGTAATCTTTCAACAGCTTTCACCCATGACTCTAGAAGAGACTGACATCTAATAGAATTTTATAATAATTGCTAGTATTTTAAGATATATCCACCAATTTAAAATTCCTAAATAAATGAAAATGTAAAAATTAAACCATTCTCAAAGCATATTAGAAAGCCATGCAATTCACAATTTCACAATTAACTTATCTGTAAAATTTTGCAATTTTCACAATTTCAGTTTAAATTTTCAAAATGGTATAATGAAAATTGTTGGAGAACACTTAAATTACAAAAAACTATTGAGGTTGGCACTTGTATCTAAGCAGTTATGAAATAGTTACAAACTCTTCTAAGCCCCAGGAGTTTTTGTAATTTGAAAATTGCAGAATCAACAAACCCACAATATTAAAGCTTCCCATAATAGTGGGGAAGTAGGAATAATGAATGATTCATTTAAAACTGTCAAAAAGTTGCACTAAAGAAATTAAAACGACAGTATGAAAAATACAAATGTTTCTTGAAACTAATCATATATTGAAGAAAGTATAGAATGGAAGACTGTTTAGAAACAGACTACAGGTAAATGAATCTAATATTCACAGCAAACACATTTAAAAGTCCACTGGAAGTTAGGAAATTATGAACTTTATGACTTGGGCAACGACACCTTAATGTCGTACATGAGCATGGACTCCAAAAAATGACACCTATCTATAAAATTACACTTGATTAATTTTTCCCCAAAAAGTCTACAGCTTGCTTCTTATATAAGGAATGCTCCTTGTCATTTTAACTATCTAGTTCTCAGATGGAGTAAAATAGTGCAGTCTGGTTTTAAAAGGCAATCTGAAGGATACATAAACGTAAGGCACCCTATTCTGGTATATTTTTGCAAAATAATTTTTTCATTTTCTTAACATCAACAAATCAGAGCACTTACAATTCATATTTAAATGTAGCCACAATTTTTACCAGCATGGCATTCATATAATGTGTATCTATTTTATGATCAAGCTAAGAACAGTCTTACTGTTATCAATATTCTCTGGCTGATAAGTAAATGGTAGTTATAGCATGGACAAACAGATCATCTGCCAGACTTTAAATTTGGCTAGTTAATTAACTACTTGCGTTCTAACATAATAACTTCAACTCCAGAAATTAATTAAAAGAGAAAGTAGTAAACCCATACAACCAATAGTTATACACTATGGATCTTCAAAAATTTAGTGAGAATTTCATAAGCTGTCAAAATTGTCATTATTACATTGCCCCATCATTCTAATTTACTTGTCTAAAAAAAATAACCCATTATGTGCCAGTAGCACTTATATTATTTGATGACATTAGCTTTACTTCACAATTCATTAGTAATTAAGTTACAAAACCAGTGAACTTCAGATAAGCTCTGAAAACACAGCTTGTAGGAAATACGAAATAAACATGTAAAATTTAAGATTAATTCAAATATACTATTATCTGAGAACAATGAATTAATTTGTCATTATATACCAGCTATGCAGATATTTCTCACACTATGCTGAATGGATATTGCCAGTATGTATGATGTAGGTTAACGTATTTCTCAGCATGAAACTTTCCATACTGCTTTAAGCTTAGAATCTTTTAAAGAAGTAAACAGCACATCTTCAGTTAACTACCCTGTTATATGAAACAATCAATATATTAAAAAATCCAAGTAAAAAAAAAAAAAAAAAATCACTCAACTCATTCTAACCTAGCAAATTTGACTACTTATAACATCAAAATTTCAAGAATAGGATAAAGATTAGCCCAAGAGAACTTTTTATCACGATCAATTAAGATGAAGCATGCTCATATTTAAAATGCTCTTTTTAATGCATTTCTTCTCCCAGGAAATATGTTTCAAAATAATGCGAGTTCAATGTGAATCACATAAATCCGTCTATTTAGATGTTAAGTATCAGTCAGCTTACTGTAACATGTTAGAAGTTCACAATTTACAGCTAAAACTGTACTATGTTTTATCCACTCTGGCAGTTTTGGGGAAGTAATATAACTTTGAGAGATTCAGCGTGCTCTGGAGTTCTAAAGAAAGGGTAGGGGACAGGAAAGAGTATACACCTATTTAAACTATGACTTACTGGAGCAACAAGTGTTCATGAAGGATTATGCTAAGATGAACCCTCGAAAGATTCTATAGATCTTATTTCCTTTTGAAGTTTCAAATCTATTTAAATTTGTAAATGTACTAGTGAACTGGCACAGATCTAATGAAATCAACTGTGTTATGTCAATTTTTACCAACTTATAAAAATGTACTGTGGAACTTTAGTCTTAATTTTCAATGAGTTGATGATGTATTCAGCTACTTCTACTGAATAGTTGAAGTTAACTATATATTTATGAAATGAAACCAAGCTTATTTTCACATTTTATAGTTCTTGGACAGTATATTCTGTTTAGACCTTATTATCACCCATAAAAAAAAAAGGTATTCCTTCACGTCTGAAGACAAGCTAAAGAAGAAAGTGCCATGTTACTAATCAAGCATTAAACATGTCCTCACATTCCTGCAACCACATCTCTAGGCTTGGACCTTCTAGGGACTACATTGTAGGGGCTCAGCACACAAACTAGTGAGATATTTTTACTAATATCTGCACCATGATGGAGATTTAACAGTTCCTTTTTTACTGCTGTGGTCATGTTAACCAATGGAATGCAGAAAAATGGAATTGAAGATCTTCCCATAGAAGCCTGCCCACTTTTGTCACTGTTCTGTATTTCTTGATTTTGTGAGTCAAATGTTTTGCTTTCCAGCATTTTGAGAAATGCAACATTTGGAGATACTACGATTAACAAAATCATTAAAAAAAATCAGACTTTTCATTTAACCTGTTAAAACTCAAAGATACTTAACTGACATTAAGTGACTAATTAACGATTTTTAATTAAGGGACTTTCTGAAAGGCACTGTGGTTAATATGTTTCCTTACAAGAAAATATGAAATCATACCTGCTTTGTTTATAATTTCTAAAAATATTCGACCACTACCTCTGGAGTAGAGGTAGTTAAATTCCATTATACATCTCAAGTAAACTGTTCTTGATCAAAGCAGTTCTTACCTGGCTATGTTCCTTCCTAGCCCCAGGGCTAAACCAGTGACTGTGGGAGAAAAAGAAAAGACAGGTTTAACAATATAACTAACAAAGCACACGCTGTCATATGACCAGTCTGTGCGTGCTTTTGGGTATTTCATTGTCTGCCAGGAAAATAAACCCTTTGGCTATACTTTATTTTAATGGGATATTTTTATTGAACTCTCTAGGTCTTTAACAGTTTTGAAAGAATGCACCACAAATTTCACTTCTGAGTAGCTATTGGCTTTATAGGTAATTATATTTTGTCAAACAAGCTAAAATAATATATAAATGATAGTATTTTAATATACTATAATGCATATGCTATAAATAAAAGTCATTCCATATTTAGTACTGAAGTGTTACTTATTAATGATTATAGCTGAAAAGATTTTTAAGTACTGTGGACTACCTGTTATTTGTTAATGTATTATTTCAACTGAGGTCTGAGTTTGAATCTAAAGTGAAATTCAAAGTCCGTAAATTCAGTGGCTTCATATCGTCACACACTTGCAAAATTTTGACTATTGGCAGCCTTACTTCAGAGAGACGAGAATTTGGACTAAGACACTGATATGCAGGGACAAGAACTCACGATGTGACTTTTTCCTCAATAGCAGTAAAAGCATATTAATACTGGTTCACATACACACTGTGATCACATAGAACTGAATTAACATCCGAATGTAGCTGTAGTAAGCATTATACAAACCTGGGGCAAATCTTGACACTTGCCAAATGAAAAGGAGAAGGAAAAAACAATTAAAACAAGGGGGATCTGAAATTACATATAGTACTACATATTACTCATGTAAGCAAGCAATAGGTTTTGGGCAAAGGATAAAATAATTCCATCCATTATAATATTGCACAAAAAGACCATCACATTATCTGCTATTATGCTTGTAAGTTCCTCAAGAAGTGTAACCAAAGATTATAAGCTTAACCTAGTCACGCTTTTTCTGAAGTAGTTGAATTCAATAGAGTTTACGCTCATTTTTTCTCCACAGCAGCCACATGACAACACTAAAATTTTTACTTTAATTAATATACTGAGAAGAAGCAGATACCATGGAATTGTCTGGTCTAAATTACTCTTTTTAAGTCACAAGTCTGAAAGTTTTGTGGCTTTTTGTCACTCCTTTTTTATGAGTTTGCTGATGAGCAGTCCACCCTCTCGTTCTTGTATATGAGACCAGCTGTCACCAAAACCTGCATGCCGCCAACTCCTTTTTCTACTTTTAAGTTGATTACGGAAAAGAAGTTGGAAATGAAAAAGAATGACAGCAATAAAGTTAAAAGTATACCTCAAGATAAAAAGTAGTAGACATTTATATATTTTGGACATGAAACGTTCATCAACTGCACCGAATAGTTAAAAATCTGAGGAAAACAGGGAGATTTCATGCACACACAACTTTGATGTTGGCAGTGGATGAAAAGAAAAACCATCACATTTGTGAATGACCCAACAAATAAGGTCACAAACATCTGGAAGCTGATGAAGAGAAGAAATATAATGGGTTAGATCTAAATTCCACATGGATGAGTGTCTTGTCCCTGACCAGTGTCAACAGCAAACGCTCAAGGAGGAGCGGCAAACTGGGGCATCCTCCTCCACATAAACTCTGCTGTTTTGTGGCAAATCAGTGGATTACAGACTAAACTGTTAGTAAAACATATTTCTATTGAAAAATATATCGCAGTGATTTGAATGCATCTCATATTTAGACATTAAAAACCCTTCATAAACAATAAGACCTCTTGTAATGAGAAAGTGATATTCACATCACACTGATTTTTATGATTTTTGTCCATTCGCTTAATTACAGTATTTGTTTGCTTGCTTGTTTTAATGAAATAAACAAAAGTAAACCCCATAAAATACCAGTTGAATTACTTTAGAGTAGAAATAACTTCTGAAATCACAGCCTCTTTAGTTAACACACACATTAGCAAGTTATGGGGTGCAACAGAACTGGATTAGTAGCATAAAACAGTTGGTACTGAGGATCTGATGTTTGTAGAATATGCGCTTTGGCAAGTTTTGTCTTAAAATGTAGATGCTGTTTCTAGTAGCAGTTAGAACATATAAATGTATCCCCAAATATATTATCTCCTAATCATTTGTATCTGCATTTTAGATTTCCGATTTGGAAAATATAGGAAAATTTAATCTTCTTATTGTAACTATTCAAAAGAGATAACCAAGAAATAATGCTGCTAAATGTTGTCAGCTGAACAGAGTAAGAGTTTACAGTAATGGTGCACTGGAGTAACTAAATGAACTGAATGACAGTCCCTATTTACATGTGACTAAACAATTCAGTGTCTTTTTGTGGAGTTTATGATAACCTTCCTCCTCACATGATACATCATGTCTAAGACTCAAAGATGTGATGCTTGTTTATTTTCATATATTCAAGCTTGACATTTCTGCATTTCCCTTTGGAGGTCTTTTTAAACAACCCATATTTGGTATCTAGACTTAAATGTGTTACGTTTTAGGAAAGCATATACTCAGCAAGTTAATAAAAACACATTTACAAAGCACTGAACTTCACATTTCCTTAAGAAACATAAAATGAATTATGAAGGATTATAAATATTATTATTAAATAAAGATCATTATGTAACTGAGCTGAGGCTCTTATCACATATTTGTACAGTTGTAAAATGCGGCTTTGGGACACAGGTACTACTGTAAAGCAAACAATAATAAAAAGTTATAACTCCCATCGCTGATACTCACTCATGGTGAAGAGAATCCTGGGACAAGTGAACCGTTTTCCTGCTACCACCTGGTCCTGGAGTTATCTAATAGAAAAAATGTAGGAAAAAAAAAAAAAAGACTTTGAATAATGGGACAGCATACACACACAGTGATTGTTTATTAAGAAAACATATCACAACTGCTAAATACAAAATAGAGACAGTACACTAGATATAGTAAATGCAATTAGCAATATCTGCAATTTTTAAGCGAAGTCTGAATGCAGAAAGTGCTACAAAATATTCACCAAAATCCTTAATGTGTAATTCTGATTGGATGTCAGATGTCAGGCATCTACAGATGTCAGGGGCCTGTTATTTTTGAAAAGTCCATGGAGCACTTTATCTCCAAAAAATGAAAGTTAGATGATTTAAAAATCATATTTATCATACTATTCTTATTTATTGATAATACAGCAACAAATTTATTAAAAAGTGCTCCCAACCTTTGTATAACAACACAAAGCTTTTGCAATTAAAGTTGATGCGGGATAGAAAGCAAAGATAAAATAATTTTTACCGCACCATACTGTAGTCCTTGTCTAGTGCTTTATATATACTGAAACCAAAAATATATAATATGGTCAATTTAAGAATGATCTTAAGAAGGCATGATAGCACATGCAGACTTTTGCAGATGATGATATTCTGGTATTGCTCAAGAATGCATTCAAACAGCTTTATTTTTATTTTTAGAATCTGCTTAATTCGTCTGCACATGTAGATAGGTAAAAGCAGAAGAATAAGAGACCACCTGATGAAACTCATGCTTGAAGAACCAGAGCAGAAGGCAAACTATTCCTGTTGGAAAGAATGCAGGAACAAATTTTCAGTTCCTTGGATAGTTTCATAGTCAGTAGATGACCAGCAGTGAGAATGAAGTCAGATGTTCTGCCAGTTTTGAAAGGAGACCACAAAAAACTCAATGATAATACATTTATGTGTCTCAGGCTTGCCAAAAGTACATAAGCAGAAGATTCACAGATAAAAGCAGCCTACTCTTTATTAAAAGAACAATGTGCTCAACCTTGAAAGAAAAATATCCCTATTCATCTGGTGTCATGATAGAGAAGAGCCAGGGCAGTCAGAGATCCAAGTCTGGAAAACTTTCAAAGAACACTCACTGAATAATTTGAAAGCTCTGTGCAGTTAAAGTATTTGACCAAAATCTGTTTCTTTGACCTGAAGAATGATGTCACTCGGGGCCAAATTGAGAAACCCTAAAGTGTTGTCACTTTTCTGGCTGACAGCGATTGAAAAGAACTGGTAATACCTTACCGCAGAAAAATCTATGCAGACATACAAATCCCTAGTAGAGGAAATCATGGCAGCTACATGGGAGGACAGCACCTACTGCTTTACCCACATTTGGAATTTACTGTTTTACTAGACTTATTGAGCCCTTACATAACCGCATGATAATAATAAAACAGTGACCAAACATTAGTGTTCCAATATCATAGTTCACCTAATAATAAGAGTGAGAAATGTCAATTCACAAAGACAGACCTAGAAATATGAACAAGTATTTTAATATGTAATTTCCAAATTTTAAGATTAATAACTAAACTGTTACTTTAACACTATAGGTAAGCATGTAGCTCAGCTCTTCAGAGTTGCATCCTGCATTAATCTCAAAATGAGGTTTTCATGCTATTCCAGTGGGTATCCCTGGAATATAGTAATCCATTTTCTACACTGTGGCTATAAGAAAAGCCGACTGTGCCTATGTCATGCTTTGTTAGAGGTTCATGATCACATTATCTCATGGTGGACCTGACACTTTTATTCAGTTTACAGTATGTTCTGTGTACAGGCAACTTATTTCCTTTGCCAGGGCTGCTGACAACCTTTTCCACACTATATTAATCTTGTTTACAGACTTTATCTTGGTACAAATATCAGAAAACTGAACTTTTTATCTCAGGGAGAAAATAAACAACATGTTGACAGAAGCAAAAGCTATTTTCTGGACTAAAATTGGTTGTTTACCTGCAGCCATACTTATGGAAACAAGTTTAAGTTTCCAGCTTACTCAAAATACATAATCTGAAATTTAATAAGCATGGAAATTTCAAGAAAAATCACTTGATAAATTGCCAGTTTTAAAATAATATATAAACCATAGAAGTATGTTTTTCCACTAATTTATATGAGAATATGAACTTGCTTGGAATACAGTTGCAACTGATCACGAAGTACACTGCTCAGGTTTCTCTTGCACATGCCAGATAGCTTCAGCTACCAAGCAGCCACAGATTATTTATAAAACTAAACTCATAATGCATACATATAGATCTTTGCATAAAACTGAATGCTGATTATTGTAAGATTCACAATATGTTAATGCGAAGGAATTCCTATTTGCAAAACTTATCTAGGGTGTAAAAAGGCAAAACAGAACCTGTCGCCCATCTTCATCTGCTAAATCGCCGTTAGAAAAAACTACTCCAAAGATCTGCTGAATCTCCACAGAATAGAGATCCAATTGCTCCAGAAAGTGGCAGCAGATCGCAGGACACTAAAATCAAAACAAATACCCTTCAGATTCTTTATTTATGCAAAAAAATGCATAGATATCTAGAATTGTTTTAGGTGATGAAATCCCAGTGCACAAGAAGAAATCAGGGGGTAAAGTAAGTGGTAGCTTTCCTAACTAACTAAGAACAAACAGCACTGAAGGTTTGCACGACTAAGTTGTTTTTTTTGTGTTTGTGCGTGTTTGGTTTTTTTTTTCCCCTCAATTGAATGTATTCTAGTGTGCATGTCTGAGTGCACACCTGTGTATCAGGGAATCAGAACTGCTGTGATGGTAGTGTTTATAAGACTGACAGATAAGGCCTGTGTTAAACTTTAAACTAAGTTCATTCATTAACAACACTCTTCTTGGAAATGGCCAATTCTTACACACTATTAAACATTCTCCTTATATACACAAGACTGTTAGTTTTTAACAGCTGTATGGTAAATCAGCTGATAGAGCTGATAGCGTACAGTTAGCACTGATGGCTATGGTCCTTGATGGTTCGTAGCCACAGGGGTCGAGGTGACCAAGACTGAGCCATCTGAGAAAAGACGTTGGAACTGAGGTGGGCTTGTCTTCCTTCTCATCAAATTCTCCTTGCTTATGTCTGATGTCTTTAAGCTACTGTTCCCTCCGAAAAAGTGAGGAGGGGTGCCTTCTCTTTTTTTGTAACAGGCATCTGAGCCACAGGCAAGTTAAGTGCAATCTCAAAAAGCACATTTTTATAATGTCCAACAAGTGCTGTAGACTACTTTTGCCACATGCTTTACAGGAAAAAATGCAGCAGATTTTTTTCTAATAATATAAATATAGTAATTTTTTTTTCAAATCTTTTGATGGATAAACTTTTGGAAAAAAATGCCATGGCACACTTTAAAGTTCATACACAACATGAACAAAATTCTGGCATTAAAAGTTCCTTCCTATGAGACATTAAAATGCCTAGGAAATGCCCAATAACCTCTTTCAAGCTTTTTAGCAGTATATTTAATAGCCTGTGTTTCTAGAAGTCGTGCTACCCCATAACCAAACATAATCACACTCACACTGGAACTTAGGTAACTATAATATAAAAAGTGGAAGTATTTCTAACTATTTCATCTAATTAAGAATAGCAGCTTTTTAAAAAACTTACTAGATGTGGCAAATAACTAGGAACGATGTCCTCGACGATGAGGAACAATATTGACCTTCAAAAAGTACAAAAGAAATATCACGGGTCTTCATACAGGCCAACTGTGTTGCAATCTGTACCGTGGCTTAGTTGCATAAAGCAGCAAAATAGGTAGGAGTGTAAAGGGAAACTAGGGAAACATTTGAGCCTCCTTGCTTGTCATCTTCCTCCTGCGCAAAGTCTCTCCAGCAACACATTGCACAAGAGATACTGTAATCTACAGTCGATATAACTGTTAATATGAATAAAGTTCAGGGTCATCTTTCGAACTCTTAATTTCTTCTGGCTACAAGTCCTTGTACCATTGCTTGAATAAGAGGACAAGGTGGTGGCTGCGTACTGTTTACAGAGTCCCTGAAACACAGGTACTCCAACTCAGAGACAAAGAACTCCTCCTCTTTTGCAAAGATTGCTTTCCCTGAGAAATTATGACCTATACTGATGGACACAGTAAAATGGAAAAGTATTCAAGACTAGGACATTTTGCCTCAAAATAGACAACGTTGTATACTGCTGCCTGAGATATTGCACATGACAAACTTCAGAAGTGATGTATGGGAAGATGGTGGGATTAAACAGAAAAAGGAGGACAAGAAAGATAGAGGATTTCACTCCGCAGAAATAACGTTGAGCATGGCAACTGTTATTTTTAATGCTAATAATATAGAATAGAATATTTCAGTTGGAAGGGACCTACCATGATCATCTAGTCCAACTGCCTGACCAATTCAGGGCTGACCAAAGGGTAAAGCATGTCATTAAGGGCATTGTCCCAATGCCTCTTAAATACTGACCGGCTTGGGGCATCGTCCACGTCTCTAGGAAGCCTGTTCCAGTGTTTGACCACCCTCTCGGTAAAGAAATGCTTCCTAGTGTCCAGTCTGAACCTCCCTTGGCACTTAGCTTTGAACCATTCCCACGCGTCCCATCAGTGGGTACCAGGGAGAAGAGCTCAGCACCTCCCTCTTCCCTTCCCCTCCTCAGGAAGCTGTGGAGAGCAATGAGGTCGCCTCTCAGCCTCCTTTTCTCCAAACCAGACAAGCCCCAAATCCTCAGCCACTCCTCACAGGACGTGCCTTCCAGCCCTGCCACCAGCTTTGTTGCCCTCCCCTGGATGCATTGAAGGACCTTCATGTCCTTCCTAAAAATTGCGGGGCCCAGAACTGCAGACGGTACTCCAGATGAGGAGGCCGCATCAACGCTGAATACAGGGGGATGATCACCTCTTCTGAGGGGCTCGTCATACCACTGAGTGAGAGGGAGCAAAACGTCTACAGGACAGTCACAGGTTGCTTGAACACTACCGCTTACTTTATATGAATAGGGTAAGAGGTGTCCAAGACTGGA